TAGGGTTTAGGGTTCAGGGCTCGGGGGTTCAGGGCAAGCGGATGAAAGCGCTTCGCAGGTGAAGTCTGCTGTTTAACATACTCTAAACTACGGTTGATGGTACAAATACTGCATTACCTTAAGGACCCTAAACGATGGGAATTTTGGTATGTTCCCTTAAGGGTACTGCAGGATTCAGTTTAGGGTTTAGGGTTTAGGGCTTCGGGCTTAGGGCTTGGGGTCTGTGAGCAACCAGCATTGGCTTCCAAATTTTGAAGCTTCTTCCAGAGGACCCCCCGCATGGTAACTACTTTTGAGAGTCCGTATAATCGTATGAGGCAGAACTCTGAAATGTACCGAGTGATGGTATTGCCTTATGGAACCTATATAGTGATACTGTGTCAAACTAGCACAACCCAAAAACGTTGTCATTATTGCTTAGGGCCCCGAGTAGGGTGTTGAGTGTCGACTTTGAGAATGTACCTACAAGGCACCAAACGGATCAAACCTCGCGACCCCAAAGTCTGTAGTCTGTAGTCCATGACCCGGAAGTTTGGGGGGCCTGGATAAAGAGACTAGAGTTATGGCGTCTACTGCACCCTTTGCCCTCACAAGGAACCCTAAGGAACTTTTGTACTAATTCTTCGAACTTCTCTGGTAATCTCAACGCTACGTAGCGAGCTAAGGGTCTCGTGAAAAAGAAAGCAACCCAAAGACCCTGTTGCCCTTAAGCAGTGGGACCGTAAACGGAAGTTAGGCTGTAATTGTGGTTCATTACCGGCCTGGGGGCTAAAAGACTCTCAAGGCATCTTCCACCTGATTGCGATAGATACCGTTAGGGTTTAGGGTTTAGGGTTTAGGGCTTCTGGGGTCTATCGGTGAAGGGATTGCTGTGGAAAGGTCTTCTGGCACCTAGCCGACACCCCCGCCACCCTCTCTGCTGCGGCTCTGCTTCGGCACTCCGGAGGACAACGAGGTCGCAGCCCAGCAAGATTTTGTAAGGACCGCAACGCCACTCCACCTGAGACCAGCATTCTACAACGGCTCTCCTGGAGAGGTCTGGAGGATTAGTACTGTAACAAATTCCGTTGCAATCCCAACATGAGCAGACTACAATATACCACCTGGGTCTGATTATCACGAACTCTAGTAAACATGCGGTCGAAGGAGTTCGCCTGAAGGCACGCAGCAGGCTTCTGTGAGACACGCTAGCAATGGACAGAATCTCTGGCCCCTGGTAAGGTTGCAGAACACACGACGGCAGGCATAGAAGGGTTTGGGGATCAGGATTATTCGGTTTATGAAGATTTCAGCTGATAAGTGGCAAGGATCAAGAGTCCGTAGCGAAAGCACAGATTCTGTCGAGGTCGATTCTTCGCCCCAACCTGAAAATGAGCCGCCAAAACGGCCCGAAGTCGTCGATTGAGCTCTCACTACCACTAATGCAGGGGCCTTAATAATTAGAAGAGGGTTTTGGGGTCCATGATACTATAATTGTAAGAAGGAGCCCCCAAAATACTGGGTAATTATTAAGGCCCCTATACTATCTCTACTAGAATTGTAGCAAGGAGCCCCCAAAATATTGTAGGTGACTGTTAAAGGCCCCTATACAAAACCACCACTATACTATACTTGTAGTAAGGAGCCCCCAAAAATATTGTAGGTAGTTATTAAGGCCCTATATTATCTCTACTACAATTGTAATAAGGAGCCCCCAAAATATTGTAGGTAATTATTAGGGCCCCTATACTAGCTCTCACAATGGGCGAGCTGAGCGACTGCTCTGCCGAACCGGGTCGGCTGCGGCGGGATGTCCTGCGGGTGGTAGCGGTTAGGTGGGGCGGTGAAAGTTTAGGATTTCGAGGGCTTATCTTTGAAGATTTTGGGGTTTAGGGTTTAAGGTTTAGGGCTTAGGGTTTAGGGTTTAGGGTCTATGGTTTAAGGTTTAGGGTTTAGGGTTTAGGGTTTAGGTTCAAAACGCATTAGCATAGGGATTAGGGGTATAGAACCCTGAACCCTAAACCCAGTCGTGTAGGCCACTGCGGCCCTGGAAAGTAGCAGCTTTCGGTTCTCCCTCCCTAATTAAACCCTAAACCCCAAACCCAAAACCCTGAACCCTAAACCCCTAAACCCTAAACCCTAAACCCTTAAACCCTAAACCCTAAACCCGCATTGGGTTTCAGTCTGCCTTGGATGTTCGTGGCTGGCAGGAGCTCCTAAGCCCTCCACTCCACCCGTCTTAACTGGGTTCCTGTCAAGGAACTTGATTTAAGTTACCATAACAGGGATATGGCTTCCTGATCATGTCCATTTAGACTAACCAGCACCCATCCGAAACCATGGTGGCAATGGCTTTTCCATAGCTGTTTGCGACAGCAGCAAGCTATTGGTGAATTACCCGTTGCAGCATTGGGGCCTCCCAATCTGCAAGGGTCACCAAGAACAAAGGACCCCGCCACACCTAAAAAATATACAAAGCCCTTAATTAACCACAAACTCCCGTTAACTCCCCAACCTGTAAAGACTTCCCCCCCTAATTTCCAAACCCTAGACTCCCGCCTCCTGCAAGCCCCAAAACTGCTATAGAACCCTTATGACACCCTCACAGCGCCCCTGTGCAAACCCCTGCACATGCTGGAACATGCGTGAGGCCTCTACTAAACCCTAAATTCAACCCTACACCCGAACCCTGTAACCCCAAACTGCAAACCGTCCTCGAAAAGCGATCTAGCCGCTTCAACGATGGCACTGCCGGGGGCAGGGGCGGAGCCCCCTCCCTGATCTCATTATGGGCATGGGCTGGTGAGCTTTCGGGGCTTACCAGGGTCTTGCAGGATAGGATGTCCGGGGTTCGATAAGGGTTCGACGGGTTTAGAATTTTGAGGGTTCGGCGCTTTTTGACCCTCAGGGTTTGGGTGAGTTTTAGGGTTCGAACGTTTAGCTGCAGCTTTTTGAGCTTCGGGCTATCATACCATGCATACCACTAGTCGTAGTAGCTACTACTACATAATTATATACCCCTGGTCTTGCTATGGTGATGCCTGCGACGTGTATGCCTACTTGACTACATGGGCAGGTGAGAAACTGAGCCTTTGCGGCCCCCTGCAGAAACTCAGCAAAAGACCAGCTTTTCGGACATTTCTGTCAAAGGCAACGAAGCTTCCGAAGTCCTAAGGAGCGCTTAGTCTGGGTATGGCTTATGGAGGTTCTTCAAATTCTGGTCTCGTTTCGGGTCCTTCTTAGAGTGGTGGCAGACTCTGTTGGAGACCCAAAGAAGCGGCCAAATCTAGAGAACCATTGCAGTGATCGCAAAAATTACAAATATGATTCCGTTAGGCTCCTTCATAAAAAAAACTAGAACAAAAAGCCCTCCAAACCTTATGCTAGGCATTCAGGGTTACACACATGGTTATCGCAGGATCTGAAGGATGATCGGCGCGCCGAGCTCCACTTAAAGTCTATTGGAGATTCTTTCAGGTGGGGAACGGGAGAGGGCCCAAAACTAATCTGCACCGAGGCTCTTCAAACCTAACTCCCCTTAAGCCCTGAACCCGAAGCCGAGTGGCTCAGGAGGATTTTAGGGTTTAGGGTTTAGGGTTTTGGGTTTAGGGTTTAGGGTTTTGGGTTTTGGGTTTAGGGTTTTGGGGTTAGGGTAAAAATATGCAAGGGGAGAGCTTCCCCTCGCCCACTCCAGAAGCATGCCTTTCAAGTATCCCGGCTGTTGAGACACTCCCAATCCTAGGCCCCAAGAACCCCCCCTCTAGAACCCCCCTAAACCCTAAACCCTAAACCCTGAAACCCTAAACCCTGTTCGGGACGGGAGCTTGTCTGACCAAGGGGCAGAGCTGCTTTGCAACCTCGGCTCCCCCACTGCCCTCACAGAGCCGAAAAGTCGGAAGATGTAAAAAAACCTAAACCCTAACTAAACCCTAAACCCTGAGCCCTAAACCCTTCAACCTCAAACCCTAAACCCTATTGCGTCACTGACTATTATCAGCAACAGAAGTAAAACCCTAGACAGAACCTAAGGCAAAGTAGCAAAACCCCCTTGTCTTCCTTACATTATTATGCTCTGCTATATTGTACTACTGTATACTATGTTAAGCTATACGATACTATACTGTACTATACTATACTATGCTATACTATGCCATATTATGCTATGCTTACACTGCGCTAAACCATACTATGCCATGCCATACCATACTATGCTATGTCTTACCAAAAAATACCGCACTATACCATACTGCATGATACTATACCAAACTATACCATATTAAACCATACTATACCATACTATACCATACTATACCATACTATACCATACTATGCCATACTATGCCACACTATGCATTTCTTTTCCATACTATACCATACTATACCACACTATACCATACTATAGTATACTAGGTTACTACATTATACTATACTATATTATACTATGTTTCACTAAACTGTAAGTACTATACACTGCTTTACTACATGTTACTATACTCTACTCTACTACAATATACAATACCCGCAAAACCCTCGTTCAAGTATTCTATTTCTTAGGGCCCCTACATCGAACCTTAACCTCCCCCTTCCAGGAAAAGCCAAAAACCTTGCTGTAGAACCCTCAATGGAACACCATTCTCATTGCTCAAGAGGCTCCTGATTCTCATTCCTTGGCCCCCTGATCTCATGCCAGAAGGCCCCGGTGAACCCAAAACCCGAAACCCTAAAAACCCTTTAGTTCGGAGAACTACCCATATCAAAGCCAAGGGGCAGCTCCCAGTGCCTCGCCAAATCATCACCGACATTCTCCGGGTCGTAGGGGATCAGCGACCTGAAGGGTTTAGGGCCTACTGTTTAGGGTGTAAGGCTTTAAGCTTTAGGGGTTTGTCGCTTATGGCTTAGGGTTTCCTGCAGGGGGTCAGCCACCTCAGGTCAAGGCCAACCGTTCTGGGGTTTCGGGTCTAGGGGTTGTAAGTGTATTTTGGGACATAACATACGCATGGGCCTTCATAACTAGTTCTGCTGGCAAAGCAACTAAAGTCGTAATGCTAGCAATAATGACAAGCAGAACAAGAAGAAATCGCAAGCATCGTTCATGACAATAACAATAATGAAAAACGGTGAATTGCAACTTGCAACAATACCTATGCCAATGGAAGCAATACTGACTCATAATGACCATCAAGCTATTCGTATGCGTGCTGGTATTCTCGTTACAATTATTGCTATTGTTATGATTGCCATTATTAACATGACTGTTATTACTCTGCTCTTCCAACGCCAGCCCGAGGGGCCAGGACCCCGCAAAGTTCTCGGCATGCCGCTGCAGTGCGCGCTGGAGCGCCGTGGGTTCGGCGCCTTCTCTTGGATTCTGGTGGGTTTTGGGCAGGATAGCGGGTTTTGGTTCAATGTTTAGGGTTGAGGTCTTGGGGTTCAGAGTTGGGGTGTAAAATGTAGGGATTGCGGATGTTCTTTCTGACAGCACTCCGAAGATCTAGGGTTTAGGAGAAGTCTTGTTAAGGTTCGATCATGGTTCGGAAGAAATTTGAATTGCATTTCATGGGGTTTCGGGGCTTGCTGGGCTTACAAGTTCAGGGATTTTGGTTGAAGTTTAAAATTTGTGGGGGGGGTTTAGATCTTAACCCTGGGGCTGTTGGGTTTGCAACGTGGAAAACTGCTGGCAAGTTCGAAGATTTGCACGGCTGTTTGAAGGTTGCGGGAGAGGCCCAATCAGTACTTGATGGATCTGTCTATTCAGTGCCCCTAAAAGCCCAAAGCCCTACATCCTATGCCCCGGCCCTAACACCCCTACGGCACTAAACCTGGAATACCTAAAACCCCAAAGCCACGAAGACTTGGGCTTCGATTCTCGGGCTCGACTCCCGTTTACGAATATTCCTATGAGTCGACCACAAGCAGTATGCGAACCATGATGCACCTAATTACTGCAATTATGATGTGCAGTTAGGAACACTAGCAAGAAGCCCCGACATGCCAGTACCTAGTTGGTAATGACTTAACTTAATGACAGCGATTGTAACGGAATCATTCCACATCGACTCACCATGCCGCAAAAAAACCTTCCGGGAAGGTAGCTAGAAGCAATGAAGCCAGGTTGGTCTGCTCAGCGACGCTGTGCTCGTAGCGCTGCAACCCCTTGCGTGGGTGTCCGAAAGCTGTCATTACGAATGCGTGCGCGGCTTTTTCTTTGCCGCGCCCTCTTTGCGGCGTCCGGGCTGTCCAGCTCGTCCGTTTTCGACCTGCCACGCAGTGCCGTTATTCGGCCCGTTGCACGAACAGGCTGCAAGTGCATTTTCTCGCACACCTGCAGCGTCACTATCTTCGGGCAATACTGGCCACAATTCTCCTCTCAAGACAATTCAATGCACTTCGAACAACAAGTTCAGCTCGGAGATGCTGATGTGCAACACTCCCTCCTGCTTTTGAGCGATCTTCGCATTCTGCCAATGCGTCGCGAACTTCGGCTTCTGACATGTGCAGCAGATCGACCAAGTTGCTTGGCAGTGGCATGCTGGACAACTGCAACCGCAACCGTTTCCGTGTCCGACGATTTGGCTGCGCATCGCCCAGAACTTGGTGTTGTCGCGCTCTATACAGCAAGCGTTGTTGACATGTCGATGGGCCAAGTATTCTGCTGCAGAACTCATGCCCTGTCGACGCAGCGCTCTCCCATTCAGGAAAGACACTTGTGGCGACTTCGGCCACACTCACGAGCTTGGCTGATCGTCCCAGCATGTAACTACCCCAATGATCCGTCAAGAGTCTCTGCATCATCTGGAGCACATTGCAGGGACTCTGGCGAGTTCTCTTTGACAGTAAAGACAGCCATAAACTATGGAAGCCCTCCAGCGTCTGACTCTTTGTCCAGAGAGCCACTCCAGCAGCCGGCCCAGTAAATGTCTGCGCAGTCGGCTAACCTTCTCTCACGTATTCTGCAAAATCTCCGTTTTCTGCGAGTGAAGGTATCCTTTCAAAAGATACCCTCGTGCCTGCTCTGCAGCGGCGTCCACAGGGCGACAGTTTTTTGTTTTGGGCTCTGTCGGCGCATGCTTGAGAAGGTGGGGACCACAAAGGATACCGGGGGCGCAGAAAGAGCCCATACAACAGTACCATAAAAAAAAAACCTACGGGCTCGGAAGAACAAAAACAAGCAGCCAGGTGGGGTCGACCTCAATGAATTCTAGACACCCTCCGCCGACTCAACCCTGAAACCAGCGTTTAGGGTTTCCACGGCCGGGAGCGATGCAGAGATTTGATTCTTCGAGTTTGGGATTCGGGGGATTGGGGCTTCTTAGAAATCAACCAACATCCCTGAACCCTAAACCCTAAGCCTTGAAAGCCGAGTTGGGGCTTAGGGGGTCATGGATCACGGGACGGTTTAGGGCTTAGGGCTTAGGGCTTAGGGGCTTAGGGGCTTAGGGCTTCGGGCTTCGGGCTTAGGGTTTAGGGCTTAGGGACTTAGGGCTTAGGGCTTAGTTAAGGCTTAGGGTTTAGGGCTTGGGGCTTAGTTAGGGCTTAGAGTTTAGGGCTTAGGGCTTAGGGCTTAGGGTTTAGGGCTTAGGGCTTAGGGCTTAAGGTTTAGGGCTTAGGGCTTAGGGTTTAGGGGAGTCAGGGTGTAGTGAAGGGACCTTGGGTTAGGTCTACGGCACGAGAAGCACCTTCGCCAGCGAAACCATGGCCATCCAGAAGGGATCGCGGCGTGTCCTTAATATAGGGGCCTTAATCATTAGAACAGGGTTTTGGGATCCATTAAACTATAAGTAGAATAAGGAACCCCCAAAAATAATATGGGTAATTATTTAGGTCCCTACATTACATCCCAACCCCGACGCCGCCCTGTGACGCTGGAAAGTCTGTGGGCTCTTGGCCCAAAAGCCATTCTGGGGGAGCCATCAGAGGATCGAAGCCCTGAGGTATCGACTTCGGGGTCTGCGAGATTTTTAGGGTTTAATGTAGGGACCTAAATAGTGATCAATACTATTTTGGGGGGTTCCTTATGATGATTATCGTATAAGAAATCCCAAACACCCTAATTATTCTAATTTTTGAGGCCCCTATATTACTGTCTCGGGGTAGGGGTCAAGGGCTGTTTTTAGAGTTTAGAGTTCAGGGCCTGGGGGTCGCGAAAGCCTGAGGTGCCACTAGAGGCCTCGAAGACAGCACTAGAGACACGAATCCCTAGTGTAGAGGCCTTAGTCATTAGAACAGGGTTTTGGTGTATATTGTACTATAACTATAGCAAGGAGCCCCAAAATAATATAGGTAATTATTGAGGACCCTATATTAAACCACAATCCCAAGTTGCCCCCTGAACTCTGATGACTAAATCTCTTACTCCAAACTTGGCCCTAAACTCCTAAACCCTATAGACCCTGAAAAGCCATCTTGACAACCCTTGAAGATCTACACCGGTGCTCGAAAAGCCACACCGAAACCCAAACACGAACCCCCAAAACCCTAAAAACCCTTAAAGCACCCTGCCGTCAAACCCTTATAAACTCACAAACCCCCTGAAGCGTTTAGAAAACCTTGCAACCGCTTCAAAGCAACCTATAAAAAAATACCAAGCCCTCATGGAGCCGGGGGCTCCCCCTCCACGCGCCCCGGAGCGCTGTAGGTGCGGCCGATCGATTCCCGATCAGAGTCGTCGAGGTCCTGGCTGCGAAAAATCGTGGTTTTTACAGGATTCAGAGCAAAGATATTGGGAGGACGCTCTGCTGTACAGCTTTGTATTCATAGTGTCGTACAATTTCAATTTGGTGGGTGTGGGGTGGATTCACAGGTTCCGGGGATTGCATGTTGCCATCACTCCTTTTGCTAACATTGCTATTCAGTGATCCGTGCAACGACTATGCCTACTGTCATCGCGCAGAAGGCCACCTATAAGTACTGCAACTCCCATGATTATGACGTCCGTCTTTCTTCGGCTGTGTTCGCACGATGCTTTGTCTCAGCTATCGTTGTTTATCAGCACCACATGCTGCTAGAGCCGGAACGCCTAAAGTGGCTGCAGGGGCTCGGAGCCTTAGAGTCGGACGCCCGGCATAATGTTAGGTGCTCCGGGCCAGGTCGGGGTGTGTGGAGGCCTTTGGGCCATTGGGGGCTCAGAATTCTGAAGCGAAGGGGAGTAGAATGGGGTTGGGTGGGGTTTAGGGTCTGCAATGTCTACAAGGTAGCGGGGTTGGTGATGCTTTACTCGAACTGGCCTTAGCGGGTTGGGGGAACCTGGGTGACCCGAATGAGTCCTGGGGCATATGAGGTTCCAACTACACAAGGACTCCAGGTCACACGTAGAACCAGGCATGGAGGTGCTTGTGGTACTATGGGCAATTGCAATTTTTCATGGTCTAGCAGGCAGGTTGTAAAAAAAACTACCAAAACTATATTCATCATGATACGAATAGTACTGAAGATGACTAACAATACTAGTACTATCCTAAACCCTCAACCCCAAACCCCTAAACCCTAAACCCTAAACCCCAAAGCCCCCAACCATAAACCCTAAACCCCTAAACCCTAGACCCCTATGAATGCTGCGACAAACTCCCTGCTGCTGGGCGTCTAGGAAGGTATTTCGCACACAGAGCCGGGCTTGAAGATCAGACCTCGTCTTGGCTCCGGCGCACTTAGGGTTAAGGCTTAAAGGGATGAGGGTTTAGGGTTTAGGGTTTAGGGTTTGGGGTTGAGGGCTTAGGGTCTGGGGTTGGGGTTTAGGGCTTAGGGTATAGAGTTTCGAGTTTGGGGTTGACGGTTTGAAGCTTGCGGAACACCTCAACAGCAAGAGGCAAAAGAAGGCCGTGTCGGGAAGAGCCGTAGAGCGCAGAGAGTTTCAGGCTTGGGAACAAGCGAATGGGAGCATCACTTCTGAAAACGGGCACAGCCACGCTGGTGGTGCCGGCAGCCCAGGCGGCGGCGCGGTGGGCTGTCTCAGGGCCCTGAGCTCGCGTGCATTCCGATGGAGGCTTCCGACTTCGAAGGAGAAGTTTAAAACCTACTGAGCTGAAGCCCAAAGCCCTGTTACGAATCGAAACCCTAAACCCCATAAAGACCCTGCACCCCCTTTGAGCTCCTAACCCTCTGAACCGTCCTAAACCCCTAAATCGTCACCGGGTGCCAGACGTCTCCACGGACGCGTCCAGCGATGCGAGCATGAGCTGCGACTCGCTCTGCTCATAGGAGGGATCTGCAGAAGGTTCTAAACGGAATGTTTCAGTTTCAAAGAGAGTGCAATAGCCCTAGCCCCATTTACGCCGCGGCAAAGACTCGGTTTAGGGTTTAGGTTCTATAATGAAGGTTCTAGAAAAGGGTCTATCAGAGGAGTTCTAGAAGAGGTTCTAATGAGGATTCTACAATGGGACATCCTTTTTTGTTTCATAGGGTTTGAGACAAGGGCCTGAACAAACTCGAAGTGGGTCCAGGGATATTCGGAGCTTGAAGGGGTTTGCAACTATGCCACCCTCTATATCATAAGGTCTCCATGAAAACAGTGTTAGATTTCTGGCTTGCGGCTTGAGCTTCAGGGCTTCCTGGAGGTTAGTATAGGGCCGATCTTCAGAAGCAAGGTGATCTAGTAGCACAAATAACATTGCCATTAAATTAAGAGCAAGAGTAAGCATTTGCCGGAAGTGGAACCACCCCCAAATCACCCACTAGGCCCTCAAGCACTGACTGAAACCGTCATCCAACACCCGAGTCCGAAAGCCTTGAACCTCTAAACCCTCAAACGCGCAAGCCAAAATCCCTACGAAACTGGTCCTAAACCCTACGCAACCCATGTCCACAAAGACCGCCGATGTCAATAATGAAAAAGATCATAAGACAAGCCACAAAGACGAACGCTTAGAAACAACGACAAGGCCAAAACAAAAATGACGGTGGTGGTGATAACGATGATGACAGTAGTAGCAGTAATGATAACAAGAACAATAACAACAACGATAACAAAATGCAGCAAAATACGAACAGCAACAGGAAAAAAATTTAAAAAAAAATACTGTAATAATAGCAATAGTTTTTGTAATCATGTTTCTGATTCTTTTCGTCGTAGTTTTCTCGTGTCAGTAATAAAAAATAATGGCTTAGGGTATAGGGTTTAGGGTTTAGCCAGGGTTTAGGGTTCAGGGTTTAGGGTTTAGCCACGGTTTA